AATGAAATGACTTTTCACAAGGCCTCAGCCAATGCTCCGTTAAACAATATATATGAACATCATGTTCTTTTGCAAATAATTCTAATTCTAAATCTTTGCCAGCCAAACCCTGAATATTTTGATGAATAATATTAAAATTAGTAGATTTGACTGTTGTCTTACCCTTTAGTTTAAAACTGAGTTGGAAATGGGTATAGTACTATTTACGTTAGTAGAATTACTAACACAGTAATGAGACTTTGTTATATCAACTATAACAGAATTTTTTAAATTGAAAGCTAACAGAGTAGCTATCCGAGTCCTATATAACTTTGCTAGGTACATAGTATCTATTGTCAACTTAAATTTACTAATATATTTGTTAATGTCAAAGTATAAAATATCATCGCTATGATGAGATATCAAATTATAGATATTTAAATTTAATTTATATATGCGTTCATTTTGTTCTTTAGTGTAGTTATGCACATAAGGATAAGCACTAATTATCATTTTACAATTTGTTTCCGATTGAATTTTTAGCAACTTTTTAATATTAATCAAAATGTCCCGTGTTGAAGTTAAGGTACTGTCACCACATAAAATAATAATGTTAGTGAAACTATCCAATTCTTGTGGTTTAATTTTATTAACAATGTTATTTAGCGATTGTCCTGGAGTACATATATTTATAAAGTTTTGGTCATATTTACTTTTAATTGTTAACCCCATTCCCTGTCCTAGACCGTCAGAAAACATAATTGTTTTACTGTTATTTAAATTATTTGACACCACTGGTCTGAAAGGAATTGTATTGTAAGTTGTACTTATGGATTGTGAAATAGCAGATGAATGACTGAGATCTTGTTCAATCACACTCTGTGTGTTACTAGATAATGCCGGTATAGAAGACTCATTTCTAGAACCGATTAATTGATTTTTTAATAAAGAGTCATATCTTTCAGCATTATAATTGCAAAGATCAACTAACTCAGTGGCTGACATGATATGTTCAGTTATTTGTTTTTGTGCACTTAGGTAGCAAGTGCACAAAAACAAATATGCAAGGTTATCTAAATGGAATCAATGATTTATGCGAGAGAACCGATCCACGGTATTGTAAAACTACTTTGGAACAATTTTATCATGAGATGGATCTTATCAACTACTACAACAGTATTCTGCTGACTCCACATAAACATTTAACGGAACGAAGAAAATGTGGTCTCATCAATGGTGTGGGTACTATAGCGAACAGTTTATTTGGACTTTTGGATCAAAATTTCGCAGATAAATACAGCAATGATATCAACGGAACGAGAAACATTTAATGGAATTGATAAAAAATCAAACATCCGTGGTGGAGCTTCAAACTAATATTTTGAAGAAGACAGAAGAGAACATCAAAAAACAATTTAATTCGTTAGATTATTTTATCAACCAAACTGAAGCGAACATAGCAAAATTGGAGTCCCAACTAGCAGTAGTTATGGCTACGAGCTACTTTAGCTCAGCATCGATCGCATCGTTTCTACTGATTAACAACCTGAAGAAAATGCAAGAGCTCTTTTTCAACACTTTGACTGATGTATATAGAGGACACATAGATGTACATCTCATAACACCGGCTAATCTCATCGAGCAAATAAATGACATCTCTGGAAAGTTACCAAAGACACTTGCATGGCCGATAGAAAATATAAGAGAAGATTTAAAAAACTTATACAAGTTTATTTTTATTTTATTTTATTTTATTTTATTTTGGTACAGCAATAGAAAACAAATCAAGATCACATGCTTACAATTAGGCATAATTAATTAATTTATTGTTTATTTGCCTTCCTATAACTGCTGGACACGACACTTAAATAGTACATGTATTATCAGTAAATATGACAATGAATGAATATTAAATAAACTTAAACATAAACAAGTTCAATGATAATAGAAAATTAAATCAAAATTTAGCATAATTATTGAGAAATTTAGAAAAAGAAAATATAATCAAAATAATTATTACAACAGTTATTACATTAAGAAACATCATAATTTAGACTTGCATATTCTTATGTAGGAATGATAGGAGAGTGAAAATATATCCAAATCGTTACACAAATTATTATAAGCTCTACACATTCTGAAAATAGGGTCATTATGTATGTTACATTATTATTGCATATTGGTAGAGAGAAAAGTTTTTGCACCCTTTTGCTACCACCCACTTTAAATGGAAAATGGCTTAACAGATCTTCAGTGTCCATACGGAGTTAATAATTTTGTAAAGCGTCGATAAGTTCGCTACATCTCGTCTTGACTGAAGGGTGCTCACTTTGAAATGATCAAGTCTGGCCTGATATGTATCCAATCTACGTCTCAAACCGAATTTAGCACTCAAGTATCGAAGAAACCGTTTTTGGACTGCCTCTATTCTGTCAATATGGATGCTATAAAATGGGGACCATACTATCGAACAGTATTCAAGTATGCTTCTGATCAGTGCGAAATAGAGTATCAATATGCTGCTTGGTTTCCTGAAGGGTCTTATTATTCTGAATATAAATCCCATCATTCTATTAGCTTTCGATACCATGTGGTCGAAATGGTTAGTGAACGACAATTTAGCGTCAAGTAATACCCTTAGATCCCTAACAACGTCTTGTCTCGCTAATGGTTTGCCATCTATAGTGTAGGTATTGTGTGATGGATGTTTCTTTTTCGTGAACGAAATCACAAAGCACTTTGCTATATTTAACGACATATTGTTATTTAAACACCATTGGTACAAACGACTGATATCATTTTGCAGCATCGCATTATCTTTCTCCCCTCGCATCAAACCGTATATCTTTAAATCATCAGCATAAGCGAGACAGTTGCTTGATATTGAGTTGAGTAAATCATTTATAAACAAAACAAATAAGAGAGGACCCAAGTTCGATCCCTGAGGCACACCAGATTCAGGAATAAATGGAGTGGATTCATACCCATATATCCTTACGATTTGAGTTCGATTAGACAGGTAAGAAGTCAACCAGCGCAGAAGCGAGCCATGTATACCAAGATGATAAGCCTTGCGTATAAGGATACTATGATCTACCCTATCGAATGCCTTGGAAAAATCTACATATATGGAATCAACTTGCATTCGATCGTTAAGAACTGTGCTTAAGTAATGAATGTAACATAATAAATTAGAAGATGTGGAACGCCCTTTCACAAAACCATGTTGTCTTTGACTTATGTGCTGTTTGAGATGAAAATTAATATGCTTGTAGACTAAACTTTCAAAAATTTTGGATAAATAACAAAGGATACTTATTGGTCTGTAATTTATTACGTCTGATTTGTCACCGGTTTTATGTATGGGAACAACCGCCGCTGTCTTCCAAGATGTCGGAAAAATGCCAGCTTTAATGCTTTTATTAAATAAAATATATAAGGGTTCAACTAAAGCAGTGGCACACATTCTCAGAAAGACAGGAGGAATACCGTCCGGACCCGGACCCAATGATTTCAGAGACAATTCTATTTCTTTGCGTGTAATGACTAACGAAGCGATGGTTGAGTTTGACTCAGGAAAGTCTGGTATGTACGTATTAGCGGAGGGTTTACCATGTACTGCTGAAAAGTGTCTCGCAAATAGATTGGCTATGTCACTGCCACTATCAGCGTGATCAGAACCGTAAAACATTTGATTCGGCAAATCGTTTAATTTTTTCGTCGACCGAGAATAACTTCAAAATAACCGTACGTTATCTCTCAGACCATTCTCAATTCTTTCAACATACATCTTGAAACTTGTATCGTAGGCAATTTTGGCCCTCGATCTTAGTATGGAAAAAGTGTCGAAATCTCGTGGATTACCGTATTTCCGATATTTTTTGTGATATTTGTCTTTTTCGTTTAAAATCTTAATTAACGACCGGGAGAACCAAGGGGGACAAGATTTTTTTGTTTTCATTTTTGGTGTATATTTGACTATACAATTCCACAAATTTTCATAGAGAACCTGTAGGAATTCGTCACAGCCCAGATCTGAGTGCTGCCACAATTCAATTTGAGAAAGTTCTGCAATACAATGGGGATAGTCTGTTTTATCAAATTTATACTTAGTCTCTTCCCTTTTCTTGAGTGTCGGAGTTTTATCAGTTTTAATATTTATCTCTAAAGGTGGATGATGACTGTCAAGACGACTTAAGGTTTGTGACTCTCTAACTACACACAATGTATTCGGTTGACACAAAACAAGATCCAAAGTGCGGTCGTTAACGTTTCTGATTGAATTATGCTGATTAAGATTTGTTCTTATGAGAAAATCCCGGAAATAAGCTTCTTTAGTGTTTGTAGTTATAACATAGAAATGATGAGACCAGTCAATGCAAGGCAAGTTAAAATCACCAACTATAAGCGACTCAGCGCCAGAGGACGAAAGAACGATACTCTCACTATTGTCCAAGAACTCTTGAAAATCATCGAAAGCGAGATACGAAGGAAGGTAAACGGTGCAAAGATTGAGAGTTGTGTTTTTAAAGCGTATGCATACCCATATGTCTTCAACAACCGATCGCCACTGGAATTTTTTCAAAACTTTGAAAACATCTCTTCACAGCAATGACCACACCTCCACCGCTAGACTTTCTGTATTTAGTCATAAAATTTTGTGATCGATCTCTGCGATAAATAATATATCTCTGATCAAACAGCTCGGATGAAGCAACTGAATCGTCAAGCCATGTTTCACACATACATATTATATCATAATTATTAACTATTATAGAACTCAATATATCGATTGTTTTTGTTTTTAAACCTCTGACGTTTTGAAAATAGATAGTCAATTCATCCATTTAAAATAAAATTCCCGATACATAGAATATAACACATTTAACTAATGTTGTGGTTTCCAAATTGTTGCATACGGCTTGTAAGTTCTTATAATCCTCAACTAACGTGTTGGTAGTTTTGATTATGTCGTCATACTGTTTGCTAACGTATTCAACACTGTTTTGCAATGCTCCTAGTTATTCTTTAATAGGTGCTAGTTCAGCCCGTATTATTTTTTGAATCAGACGCTGAAGATTGCCTTCGTCCTCAGTCGAGTCTCCTAGATTGGAGGAGGTTTTGGGTTTATTGCGTAGTGTTACGTGCTCGCGCGAGCATTCCTGCAGTTCATCCTGGGGGCCGTCACGCCGAACAGGTGTTCCCGAGTTATCATGTTTCGGCAATTTTATCTGACAGGCGGGACAAGTCCAGGTTCTCCTTTCCTTCGAGACTGTACTATAGAAACTATAAAATCGCTTTTCTGAAACGTTGGCACATTCTAGATCGTACGTGCTGTTACATGTGCGACACTTTAATAGTTCCTTGCCCGATATAATGACCAAGCATCCCGCACAGGTATTGTTATTTTTCGAGGCCATTTTAATGAAATACTCGTAAGTTTGAAAGAAAAAATAAACAACGAAAAAATGACTGTCCAACTTAGGTTTGAACCACAGGCTCTCGAGCGATAACCGAAGAGTCGACACACTACGCCAATCTACTGTCTGAGTTGTGTGACGAATTACAGGATCAGTATTCAAAATTTACGTGTCAACGTTTATTTTATATCGGTGGGTAACTTTGCACTTTACAGAACTGTTTTTGGAGATTGATATGAATTGAAGGAATTTTACCTTAAATTGTCGGCCACTTTGCACTGACATATAACAAGATTATTTTAAGCACAATTTATGATAAATTTGAACACTTTTACTATTTTTGCGGGATTAAAAGTTCGAGCGCGTACTCTGTTAATGTTAACCACTCGGGCGGTGTGGCGGTGTGGCGGTGTGGGGCAGTTAATGTATGTCAAAGCACGAGTTACAAGAAACTTCTTTCTTTTCGAGATACATTTCCCATTGGTTACGGATGAAGACTTCAAGTTATATCGAGTTTTTGCACTTCCTATTTCAACCAACACAGAAAGTGTTGTAATGCAACTGAGTTCAGAATATATCGCCGTTAACTTCGAAAGGAGCACATATACCACCCTGAGTGAAGGCGATATTAATTCATGTATACAAATTAAAGTCGATAACTTTATTTGTAACAAGAATTTACGTATATTCGACTTACATAATAACAAAGCGCCGTGCGAAGCAAAATTGTTGGGTCATCGAACGCTTCCGTCATGTAAATTAAAAACAACAATTTGCAAGGACGAATGGATTCAGTTACATGCACCGAACAGCTGGCTGACTATTTGTTGTGGAGTTTGTACATTACGTATGATTTGTGAAAATGACATGACATCACACTCTATGAACCAATCTGGAATAATAACGTTATCCCAAGGCTGTGTGTTACAATCCGATCACGCTATGATCCACTCTCACAATCAGTATCGTAGCGACGTCAAACTTAATTCCAGTTTCATGACACCATCGCTGATGTCACCTATAAATAATTTGGTTCATATAAAGCATTACAACTTGTCCCACATCAAATTGACGGACGATTCCATGTTGAGGGAGCTGAATAAAAGCCTGCTGTCTCTTCGCGCACAGGAGGATCATTTCCCGGAAACTATAACGACTCACGACATCCACCAATATGTGATATGTTACGGGGTACTTGGAATCACTATCATCATTATCATCGTTTGGACAGTAAAGAAATGCAAAACAATAACTTGCCTCAATTTACGATGGAAGAAGACGCCAGGAAACAAACCAATCTATGAAGACATTGAATTACAAACAATATCCAAAAGATTGGAATCTCATCAAGAGAATCTGAAGAACAACCCATCATCAGCCGGATGTCCTGGTCGGAGAAATGCCCCCGGAACGGACAACATTGCTTTCGACTTCGATTGAAAATATTATATTTTTATACATATACATAGCTATAATTTTTTTACATATTTTTTTATACTGTACTCTTTACATTCTATACTTTATTTTTTATAATAATATTTTTGTAACGGCTGTTCTTTACCTTGAAGCTTTTTTTCTTTTGTGGTTGCCAACATGTACGGTGTAACACCGCACATACGTAATTTATTCGCTTACGCTGCGTCCTACTTGAGGCGCCCGCGTCATTATAGTTTAATTTATAAATATTTTACTTCTTATTATTCAGTATGCAACTAAACGTCACGGGGAAAATATCAAGAAAAGAATAGCCTAATAACTACTTGTGCTACATTATTTACATCTCAATATAATTTATTTAGCAGTGGTTAAACTTTTCTCTGCATACTCCTCAACGAACTTTAACATCCCTAAATGTAAATCTGCTAACTGGCGTTTACAGTGTCCTATGCTGAGTGATCCCGCATTAAAAAGACCAACTATAAAGTTCTTAAATTTCACCTTATGCATTTAAATTTATAATATTTCATACACCACACTGACTCAATCACATATTGAAAATGTATACAGGATTTTTTTTTCCAGTGCGAAAATTTGTTTTGGTGATTCAGTATCAGTAATAGAACACTCTTCCATAATTAGTTTTTTTTTTATATTTTTATCCCTATTGAAACGGTAGAATATGGACACATTTTTTAAAATAAAACTTCAATGAAAACGTCTCTTCTTGCGTATACCACCGTGCATCCCCGCCGCGCCCGGCAGCCTCCCGCCACAGCCCCCACCGCCCCGCCGCGACCGAGCGACGCGCGCGGCAGTGAGACAGTACCCACTATGCGGCACGTCGCTTTGGTGTGAGCCAGCCCGCGGTATTGAAGCTGCTTAATACAGCCGGACTCCATCCGTACCACTTTCAGCCGGTTCAGCAGCTCCATGACCTAGACCACCACGTCGAGTCTTATGCTAGTGGCTTCTACATCATCGCAATGCAAATATTGTACAGTTTGTATTGCTGTACAGACGGTGTTAGTTGGGTATTGTAATTACTGAAGTAGTATTGTTTATATAGTAGTCGTGGAGTGCAGAAAGATGAAATCTTGAGATAATTTAACACCATTTATTCACGTACACAGTTAAGTAAGTTAAAGTGGTTGTTACTGGACGTTAGTTATCCACGGTTGCTAAATTCGCACTCATTTTATTAATATAATAATTCAATAGCGTAAAGTGAATGATAACCTCAATAATTATGTAAACAAAGCAAAATTGTACGGAACCGTACATATTCCTAACCCGAAAAGAAAAATATAAAAAACGAAAAAAATATCTGTAAAAACCACTTTTAAAGTAAAATACAATTATTAATGTAAATAAAAGTAAGTAAAGTAAGTAAACTATACTACATTATACTATATATAAAAGTAAAAATGAAGTTAACTTAAAAATATAAAAATTAATTTTCAAAATTAAATTGTACATCCGTTAACGAGTTCGATGCTCGACGGGTGTCGGGCCTCGCGTAAGTTCCGCGTCCGAACGCTCCCGACGATGAAGTATGTGGCAGCCTCCGCGACTGTTTGCTTGTCAAATCTGGCACAGCAACGGCTTGGAGCTGGACCCGTTGTGGTGACTTAGAGCTTGGTGTCTGCCTTTCCACGTCTTCATAATGATGTAGTTTTGCTTTAGGAGATTTTTTGGTGCATATTTTACGTTTCTTAACAATCCATATTAATATTGTTATTATTATAATTGCCAATAGTAAATAGCATATAACAAACTGATGAATATCGTGTGTCGCAATAACATTTGGAAGCGCTTCTTTTTGTTTTAAACTTTCCAAGTCATTTTTGACGTCATCAATAATGGTATCTTCGGTGATATTCAAATGGAATGTTCGGTGTGCTCCAATAATGCTATTTATTGATTTATTCAAGGATGGCATTTCGATATTGTAATCAATTCTAGCTTGACTGTCGTAGTTGTTATGGGAGTAGATGGTTAGATCCTTTGTTTGGATAAGACATCTTTCTCTGAGGGTCGCGATGGAGTGACTCTTTGTGGTGGAAGATCAGCCACGATTTGGTGGTTTTCCATTGGCTTGAAACGATGACAACGGACGCATTTGAGTATTTCTGTTTTTACAGCTCGGTTTCCGCCGAGTATCCAAAATTGTTGACGAATATAGGCGAGAGTGAGTCGTACGCCTCCGTGAAGTGTCATAATGTGAGCATGGTTTATAATCAGTACTGTTAATCTTCCATTTTTCGAAAGTATTGCAGGATTTTTCATGCCTACAGGAAATTTGGTTTTATTTAATCGACCACTTACACGCAGTATACCCTCTTTATCCATATAAGGGTTTAATTTGCAAATAGAGCTGTTGTTAGGTAAAGGTTGTTTTTTCAATAGTGAATTGTAATCTGTTTCAAATTCATATCTCTGAACATTCTTTCTTATTATACACATAGCATTATTTAATTCATTTGTATTTAAATATAATCGAAGCGTGTGCAGACTGGTGTCATTTTTCTTCATTATTCTATTGCTGTTACGAGCATTATTGCAGAATCGCAAAATCCAAGCGATAATGTGCGTCACCCGTGTTAATGAACTGTGTTCGAGTAATAAAGTAATAATTATATTATTTTCTGTTTGCGCTAGGGTTGTCACTACTTGTTTTTCTTCAATTATTGTAGAAAATAAACACTGGTGATTTTTCCATATAAGTCATCTTGAAAGTTTTTAACATATCAGGACCCGTCCACCATAACGGGTTTTTCAGTAATTTCTTCGGGTGTAAACCTCTAGTTGCGTAGTCTGCGGGGTTGTTTTTCGATTCGATGTATGACCATCGCGCGGCTGGTATCACCTTCTTGATTTTCAGTACTCTGTTTTCCACATATCTCTCGTACTTCGATGCTTCTCCTTGTAGCCATGCCAGTACTACTTTAGAGTCACACCAGGCCCAGATTGTAATGTTAAATCCCTTAAGTGCCTTAGTGGCCTTGTCAATTAGTCGTGATAGCAATAATGCATGTTACGTGGTGAATGACAAATTTGCTTTTTTAAAAACAATATTTTATTTTCTATAAACTAATACATCGATGTGAGATGTTACCCTTACGACTACGGAGTTGGAACTGTACTATTTTACAATGCATTCCCTTTTTAACCACAAGATGTGGGAATAACAAATAATATTAGCCTAATGATTTGTTAACAACTTAATGGTTACTAAATAATTTAGATATGATAAGTTCATCATTAGGATGTAGACAAAATGTAAGTCACAATGGATAATTATATGAGAAAGTCAAACAGGATACTTCTAATTAGCAATAACAATAGATGAGATAGTAAACAATCAATTTGTCTAATAACTAAGTTAATAGTTTAATGTCAATGAGTAAAGAGAATATTCAAAGACAACCATGATAATATCTAGGTTTAGGTATATAGTTATTATTATTATGTAGTGTAGGTGTGCTAGCTTTATATAACACCTCCCCTCTTAGAATAAAGATCGGGCGTTAATGCCGGATCTTTGGGTTTGAGAAGGCGAT